GGGAAATGCCCCTGACTAATCCCCGTATCGTAGACATTATATATAAATGTATATGAAGACTTTCTTTAGACTTTTGAATGTTTGAAAGGGACAGTCTAAAGTGTAGTTGTACTACTCCTACATCGACATACTCTACCTAACAATATTGTGTTCAAACTCCATAAAAGGAACAAATACGGCATTTAAAGCACAGTCATTATTCAAACGAACAAACAACATTGAGTTATTTCTCCTCGAGGTAAACAATAAAGATATCGAGTTTCCAACTGGATGGGGGGTCCCGATATGTCTTGTGGACAAGATCACAGGGAACTGTAACCAGGACTTTTTAGGTTATTTCCGGACTCAGATTTTGACCAAGTTTGAATGACTGTCTTTGCTTTTATTTTCGGTAGTGAATTTTATTCTTCAAAGTGACAAAATCTTCTGTGGCCGAAAATGGACAGTGTTCGTGACATTACTCACGTATGTATTTTTTACGTGGTGACAAGACTTGTGCCATAACACTCAAAATAAACATAATCTGTTATATTAGGCATTTTATGGTATCATTTAGCCTGTTATCGTTTTTTTCAGTTCATCTTTTTATTCCGTAAGTTTTTACAACTTATTTGATACATATTTTTTTTACAAATGGCATAAAACATAACATACATTCAATGGTCGTGCTTATTTCATCGTCATCAACTTGTTGAAAACATGCAATTTTACAAACGATATTACATAATATGCATTCAAGAATAGTCGTTGGGAACATTCCAATTTGCTCCATTGTTATGTATAACGTTCGGGGTAGTTTTCAGTGATTTATTTCAACTTTATCTAATTTTCTTGAAAAGTAGCTATTATGTCATATCTACAAATTACAAATTACAACAGAAAAAGTCCGTCTATTTCTAAAAAACAACATTTAACATAGAAGTTTACATTTTGTTAAAGCGTCTGATATATATTTGAACACAACAGAAGAGACATTTGTGGTTTCTTGCTCAACTAATTTTCTTTTCGCCGTAACAATTTACAGCACTATTCGTCAAAATCACGGAAGTTTACAATTTTATTTATTGAGTTTTGAGTTACGACTTTAATGAATTTGATAAACACACGTTCACAAAGGTAGAGCCGAGTGGCCAGGTAAGTCTACCTGTACCCCCGGGCTATGAGCGGTACCACCTTATCATCGCCGTCGATAACTAGGGTGTCCGGCCCATTGTCCTGGGTGTGGGAGGCCAGATTGCGGTCTCTTTGATTTGTAAACCTTGTGATTTTCTTCAAAAGGGTAGATAATCACCATTAGCCTTATCGCTACCTCGACAAATTGGTTAATGCATGATTACCAGTATAAAATGCACTCTTTTGTGTATGGCGGAAGAAGATTATAGAGTTAAGTCCCTTTAGTTGCCTCCCCATTTCCGCGATAAGGCGATTTACAAGTGTAAACACTTACATAATTAGGTATTGTGTACGGTACACACACTGAGGTGATTACAATCAAAAGTGAAACATCTATATAGCCTTTCCTGATTTACCTCATCAAAGTCTGGTTAGCTTAACCTAGATCTGAGACTATGTTTGTCAACATTTCAGTATCGAATTGTTTCCACTGAAAAAAGCGAAGGTGTCAGAATCAACATTATTGTTTGTTTGTTTGTTTTTTTTTTAAGAAACTGTCCAAATCTCACGATATTATATCTTAGTAGAGTGTTCAAATTTAATGGCATTTATCATGTGTTCTGTTACCATTTCTGAAATAAATCAAATGTGTGTACTTATTTATCTTTTTTTGTTTTGTCATGCAAAAGAACTACTGTCTGAAAACTGTTTATGCCGGTAATGTTTCATCGTCGCCATTCTTTCCTCAAATCTAAAATTCCGCCACACTTAAGTAAACATCGGACTAACCGTACTTCGGAAAAGATACCCCGACACCTGCTATACTAGTAATCAGTAATGGGGCGGTCAGTCTTCAGAGGGGTATAGATAAATGAGTGATATTTTGTTACGCCAAAAGTCAAAGACGACGTCATCAATACTGAATGGTCCGGTGTTCGGGTGTAATGAGACGGAGAAGTAGAAACATACACAGACATACGCGAATTGCTCATTGGCAAAATCAAGTAAATAAGTTGACTAGTCACGTGAGGAGGAGTCCCTTTGTTTGGTTAATGGGTATACTTAAGTCAATTCAGGTGACCGAACATGGACAGTAACCGTGACTTTTGGCGGTAAGATCACTTAGAAGCGGTAAAACAGTGTTAGGATGGTGTGATATCAAACATAGCGGCAGGTTTTCTTTATAACGGTTCTTGTCACATTCCTCAGTGTTATATCAGTTTAATTATTGACGAGGTGAAAATTCAAGGAATTGATTGATATCATGAGAATTCACGTCGGTGTCTTTAGAGATACGGCTGAGTTACACATCTGATTAATTTAGAAAACTGACGGGCAATTGTGATATTCTTTATTCCCTGTCCGAATGATTGAGAACCAGATTATTAAATTCTGTATCATTTCGCCACGCCCGGCTTGTCTTTAAACAGATTATTAAATTCTGTATCATTTCGCCACATCCGACTTGTTTTTAGACAGATTATTACGTTCTGTATCATTTCGCCTTGTCCGTCGTATCTAGAGACAGATTTACATTCTGTATTTTAATCAAGCTCGGTCAGACCTGTCTAGAGACAGTGTCACATTCCGTATAATTTCGCCTTGTCCGACTTGTCTAAAGACATTGTCATGTTCTGTATAATATCGCCTTGTCCGACTTGTCCAGAGACATTGTCGCGTTCTGTTTGATTTCGCCTTGTCCGACTTGTCCAGAGACATTGTCGCGGTCTGTATGATTTCGCCTTGTCCGACTGGTCCAGAGACATTGTCGCTTTCTGTATGATTTCGCCTTGTCCGACTTGTCCAGAGACATTGTCGCGTTCTGTATGATTTCGCCTTGTCCGATTTGTCCAGAGACAGTGTCATGTTCTGTATTATTTCACTCCGTCATATCGAGACTGTATGTTGCTGAAAACGACATTGAAATGTAATATTTACAGTTACTGTTATAACTGACACTATAACCTTTGTAATGCTCATAATCACTCCGTGTAGAAAATGTTAATCTCTCTCACGCACGTAGTTATGATGCTATGAATGAAAGACTCCCGCGTAACGTCATCCTGTAAGTAATTAGACCTCAATTTTACGTGTTTTATAATGCGTCTGTAAAATTAAGTCTGGTAAAGATATGGTTTCCTTATGACATCCGCGTTTGGAGATTTTTTTAACGAATTCTCAATAGCCTGAATAAATGTTAGATTTTCTTTACTCAACATAAGAAATACTGAGAAAAAATGTTGAATCTGTTGCTGTGGGATCAAAATGAGTGAAGCGATGGGCAGTTATATAATGGTCGTTATTCCAAGGCGTCAAACGAAACATTTTTGCTATTTCTTGTCCGTAAATCTTGAAGTCGATAAAAGCATAACTGTATTTCAATAAAAAAGATGTAACCTTATATTTTCTAACTTATCAAGAGATTACTATAAATCAGCTAGAGTAATTCACATCACTGTCTGCATTTACTCGTGTTAAATTGTAGTTATACATCGATAACCTTGGAACAAAACAGCCAAAAACCCTTATATAGATGATGCCTTGCGTCGTACCCTCATCTTGCTCAATTTTAAATACATATAAATGTATAAATAAAGTCATTAACAGGTCGATATCACGTCACTTTCCGTAAGTTCAGTATAGTTTGCCTTTTTAAAACATTATACCTGCCCTTTATAATGAGCGCTTTGAGTGACTTTGTTCTAATTCGTTGAAATGGTTTTCTTTTTTCGGTATTGATAGCAGAAAATATTTTATCAATAATATATCGTATTTATTTGTATAATTTTACATTGTATTTAGATCGTACTAGTGAGGCCGACACGTACTTGGATAAAGATCGATTTTGTTCCGAAATCATCTTACCGCTAATGAAGTGAAAATTACCAATACATGTATTTTCCCTAATGAAAATTATAACCCGACTCACCAGGTGCTCGTTTTTATATTGTTAGAACAAGATGTTCGAAGATTTAGAATTGATGCTAATTAGAAGAATGACGGTTTTAATCTAATGAAGCAGGTCGATATTGGTCACACTGCTTTGTCAACCAGCCTTGTAAGTTAAAGTTTTGTTTACACAAAAAAAATAGCAGTTACGTCAGCACATATCCAAGATAACTCAAATTTATGTGGGAACGTCGGAAATTACTTCTTGAAATTTAAAGAAAGAAAAAGGGAAATACGATAAATGAAACGGCTTAGCCTTCATTTGACGAAGCATAACACCACAAATATATCTGTTTTCATTCCTGGTCTCTATCTATACAGACACCGAAAAATGATGTGTTATTTTCCGTGTCACGGATACCGGAATTATTTTCTTCTGTGATGACACGCCAAAACAGATAGCAGACATGCACACCCTGTGGTATTACTTTCACAGGAACAGTTGACATGAGGCGACAAGTACGTTATACAAGTGCTGACACTGATTTTTAGCGTGAGTAATCTGGCGATAGTAACATTTGGTTTAGTCAGTAACGCCCCAGTCAGGTAGAGCACCTTTTGTTAAGCGCGGGTAATTATACGACAAATACTCTGTTTTCCCACGATACCGAACCGTCTGCTTCTACCTGAGGGACTATTTTCACATCTGTTTCAACAAATGTCTCGATTAAATTATTCTAAGCCTTTCTCTATTTAATTAGCATAAACAAATACGTAAGTTACACTCATTTCGTGTGTTACGTTCTTCATTTCAAATTCTTCCGAGTGTTTATCTATTTTAATTGGTGTTTACATGAGCACTATATCTTGCGCGCGGACTGTCACTAACTGATCACTACTCCGCGCTGGCTATATATCGGCTGTCACACGCGGTTTTCTCAAACGAGTTTTTACATCTGCACTGGATTTACACAGCTGCTTGGAAATTACCTGTTTGCTATTACTCTCACCACGTGTATTGCTTTATCTTATACTTAACAGGGAAAAATGAAGGTGAGTTATCACAAGAAAATTTTAGTCGTTAATATTTTTTATATTTATTAATTATTTTATTATTTGGTAGTAAATGATAAAGTGTACATTGTTTTTTCAGTTTATTTCCTGCCTTCATTAGTTTATGCCTCAGTTTCAATTTATCATCGGAAATTGAAACATGCTAACATTACCCATTCAAATATCACTAATTAATTTAAAATGTCACACTTACAATATTGCACCATACAGCCATGTCGAACTTTGTTGTAAAAATAGTATCATGTCATAAATATGATTCAAAATCCATTTATGATATGACAGTTAAAATAATTTTGAAATTGTTAAAGAAACTGATGTTATTGATGTGGTATGAAATGTTTATATTTTATTAAAATGTCAATATTATTTTTTTTATACAGATGGTACAGTACAACAGCATCAAGAAGAGCAAACGCTCCCCGACCCAGACCGTTGCTCGTCGGCATCTTAAGCTCCATCTGAAGCGTGTTAGGGACCGAGAATATGCCAGACTCCGAGATATGGTACCCTCCATCGCTAGCAAAGACAAAGTTTCAAAGGTAAGCTTATAAATGTTATCCTTTTTCGTTGATTTAGAGTCGGGTACAATGAGTTTAGGAATTCTTTTAGACACTGATTTTCAAAATATTGATTGTATTACAAAAGCTGTCCAACAAATTAAAAATGATTAAAGAAAAGAACAGAAGATGGAAATCTCGAAATTGTAAATAGGTCTGATTTTGGCTTGATCGATGGACTTGCCGAAGTGATGCGTCACGATTTTACAATAGATTGACACTTTTTTGTTAAATGGTCGTGTTACATCTAATTTTGACGTGAGAGAGTGGGAAACAGAAAAAAGGGAAAGACGACCCTTTTGTTTGAATGAATAACTTCAGATCGATATATTTTCGGTATGACAGTCAGATGTAGACAATGTCATGTGGGAGGTGATTTTCAGAGGAAACATATGTTACGGGTGTCACGCCCCGTGATAGAGGACAAATCACTCTTGACATGTGGAGGATGATTTCCAATAAGTGTATTTTATTACAAGTGCCGTAACAGGTTGCCCCAACGACCGTTTAGCTGGGTGGCAGATTTAGGGTCGTTAAGATGGTATGATAGGGCCGTGTGTAAACAGTCGCGGTGTCATCGACTGTCACCCGCGAACTCCACCACCACGTGCTGAGTATAGTTACTGGCATCTGGCATGATGGTCAACGATCGTTCGAGACTTGACTGGCCACCTGACCAGTATCGTGTCATATCGTAAGGCATATGGCATTGAAATGAATGCTGAATTTTCAATAAATGTTCCACAGTGAATATGTATCCGCCTAGAGCATTCGTGTCACAGATTCGTCAATCTGTTCTCAAAATGTGTCGATTTCATTGATTTTAATGGACTATTTTAACCAATCAATGATTTTTTTATTAATAATCAGTAGGATAGAATACTATAAGCGTTCTTGGTGGCGATATTTTTCAGTTTTAATAGATTTGGAATAGGACCAGTGATAATTATATTATATCGTATGGAACTTGTCACTTTCCAACCGTAAATACCTCAAGTCGCCACGGGTCAACTAAGTGATTTCATTTGACATATGGGACTAAGTGCAAACGTGATACATCCTCGTGATTAGCATAATTTGTCGTATACTGTTAACTATGAAATACACCAGCTGTTTTTAGTGATCCGTTAAAAACTGCCCAACAGGACATGGTAATGAAATTAAACATATGGTCATTTCATACTAGAATTTAACTCCCATAATATTCAGTGATGACTGTCCGTATGTGACGTTTGGTATGTTTTATTACCGGTTTGTCGATGTCACTCGGTACGCTACATAAACATCAATATTTTTTACGTTTATTAAGACGGAGGTCATTATTTTCTTGTCTCTTGTTATGTGTTTTGCCTCTGGGATATATGAGATTGGGATTTTATGAAGTTTTAGAGCAATATTGACACACCTGTGAGAAACTTTTACCTGAGACCGTACTGAATACCCCGATAGGTACATATATAACGGACCCCGACAGTAGATAACGACAAAATGACGGGTATTCATCCACAATGATAATAAATTTCCGGTGAGTCACCTCCGCTCGGTCGAATTTCAAACACGGAAAGGCCTACATAAATAGCACAATAGACCATGTTTAAAGTGTATAGAAAATCACCCTGGCTGATTGGTACAGTCGTTCTACAGCATCAAAACAGATCTTTATAGTCGTTTTTTTAATATCTATTCATGTTCTGACATTAACTACTTCAACACCATATAAGGAATTATTTACGTACTTCTTCACACTGTAACACATTTTATTGAAATTAAACCACGATAAGACGTTTTCTATTATAATTATTTCATATTGTATTTTTTCATTTTTTTTAAATTAAGACATTTTCGCATATCCTTCATCCTGACATTCTTACTATGTTGATTTTATCTTCTTCAGGTAACTGTAATTGAGGAAGCAGTGAAGTACATTGATGAGCTGCATAGAGCCCTTATAGAGAGACTAAACAGCAAAGGTAAGCGATCCGTCCTTAACACCTTAAGTACACTCCGTCGGTACATAAAATTATGATACATTAAATCGCCAGGTGCAAAAACTTGCTTGAATCAGGAAATATACAACCCAATAAAACTAAGTTATCAAAGTTATCACGGGATTGGAAAGAGTTTCTCAAACTATTTATTGTCAGTGGTACTTAAATGTTTGTGAACTCTTCTCGTTCCCACGATATTTTGTGTATTCTAAATTTGTCCCGAGACGGCAGATGGTGCTCATTTGAAAACAGATGGTAAAGGCTATAGGTTTGTTGGTGTTGGGATACGTATACAGGTATATGCATGCGCGGCGATCTACCTGAGTGGTTTGATAGGTAAAACGATCAGGTGTCATTTCAGGTGTAGCGACATGTTTTATGAGTCACCAGAATCATTAACAGTTACACTGCCTTGTCTACTGCTGACAAACTAACTACAACGCAGTTCAGAAAATAAAGAGTAACTTGTTTACACTACTTCAATTAAATCTAGAAAAATACACAACAGAAAAGATTAATTGAATGTAAATTAAATTATTTACTTTAAATATCAAATTTTCACCTGGCGGTGTAAGAATCCTAAGAATTCCTTTACAGCCGGAACAGCTGTTTCACTGATAACACGTGTGTACTTTAAATACATATATAGTTGTAATACACAGTCACCTGTGTACTTTCCGGTCGAGGAGAACTTAATTCGCGGGAAGCCGAAAAGGAAACACCTGTTCAGTATCTCAAGTAGAAGTTAATGATTAGAAATCCTGGCTCCCATCACCATAGAAAATGATATATTTCTCATGATTTCATATCTGATAAGATGACAAATCCCTTGGGGTATCATCGAAATGTTTCCTACATCCGAGTTTTTTTTATCACCTATGCAAGTACCTTTTGTATTAACATGTACTTTCAAACACAGTTAGTGATTATTGAATTTTTTCCCTGTTTTTTCAGGTCTTCAAGATGGTTTGATAAACGAAACAAATGTCAAAGATTTCGTCCACAATATGATGCCACAAACATTCTTCAAGAAAGATGAAAGTACAAGCTGTTATGAAAAGCAACAAAAAGTTCCATCATTTTTATTGCAACGAAGAGGGCCAAAATCTTTATAGGTAAGCTTACTGAACATAAATCCTCCATATAAACTTTGAATCCGTAAATCTGTCTCGATTATGTTTGAAATTAAGATATTTAAAAGATTTACTTGTCATTAACCTCGTTAATATTTTCCATTATCTAATCATGACTACTGCTTGTTCTTTCAGACTGTATCAAGCGCCCGTGCAACCCTGATGTGATAGCCATAATATATCTGTGATATTCATACACTATGTAAACTCCCTCACAAGCGTGTAATCCACCGAGATTATGTGATATATCGGACTGCTTTAACCCACCAGTGTGTTCACACATTACAACGACCGGAAGTGACATCGAGAAACCAATTTACTGACGGATTTCATTACAACGATCTGACAGGAAGTGACATTACCACACTAGCTTTTTATAATGCCTTACAACGAAATGACGTCGACAATGTCTGCACCAATGAAAGTCGAATTGCTGGAACTCGTCTGACCTTGACACTTCTACAAACAATTTCGTCGAGGATGATTTATCAACTTACAAAAAGGTGCGTTGTGATAAATATGTAACTTTTTCTGAAACGGAATTTACTCAATTACATGTAATTTAGTGGGTTTTCCCTTACGTATGTCTGATTTCTCGATTAAGATCAAGGGTTAGGTTCGCGTGCTTGCTCTCACGTTTCTGCATTTCTTTTTCAGATGAAACAATCCAAGACTTAACCATTGTCCGGCCCATGAAGTACGAGACAAGCACGGGACAGTTTCCCGCCATTGACGACTTATCCATAACATCAAGAAAGGTTGGCGTTAGTTACGTTATCTCGCCCGATATCTTAAGGATCACTGTGACTTGGTGGATGGATTATACAAATGTGTCGTATTTGTGTATTTCGAGGAGAACAATGTGGGAGAAATGACAGTTTTTTGTGTGAAAATTGAATTTTCTTTTGAGTATTATAAATACGGAAGATTTTTTTATGAACTAGTCCCATGGTTGTATGTTACCTTTGACATTAAATGTCGCCTGCCGAACTCTTGACATCATTTGATACCCGACATTCAATGTCGCCTGCCGAACTCTTGACATCATTTGATACCCGACATTAAATGTCGCCTGCCGAACTCCTGACATCATTTGATACCAATAAAGACAATGGAAGGCGAGGACAAACGTTTGTGACCAGCATTCCAACTATAGTGCCAAGAGCTTACTTTGTGTGTAAAACGTGTGTTATATTTATTTAAAAAGCATAAATCATGAAAAGCAAAAGCGAAAAACCATCAAATAAAAACTAATAAAACGATTTATTTGTTTGTTATTTTGCAAATTAAAAAATGCCACACCCAGCGCTGCTGTATATTCTCCATACCGATATTTACAATCGATACTATCAATGGATATACAATTGAAATGAGGTGTGAAATAACAAAGGCAGATTAATTTCTGGAAGTGTTATATGTTTTGTTTTGATAGCTGCGGTACATTTGTAGAGGATAAGATCGCTCTTCTGTCAATATCTAGGAATTACACGGTTTAAACTTCACTGATGTTTAATGTCTGATTATCCACTCACGAAAAAGTTATAACCATTCAATTGTACCGTACAAACATGGCGTAAAACGAAATATAGAAGATCCCATCTAGTTACAGATATCTCTATCGTAGTGTATTTATAGTAAATAAACTTAAAGTTACGGCTATTACTTTGTATAGTCTCTAAATCAAGCCTCCGACCCCAATGGTTGTAATTCTCGATGTCACGTGTGGCGATCAGTCATGCGCATTTATTTTATGATTTTGTTTACGTCCCTGAATATATTAAAAATACGTTTTAAATGTGAGGAGACGTGTAAGACATTTTGAAATGACATTAAAGCTAGTGTACTGTCTGTACAAGTATAATACAACAATATGGTAGACGTTACAGTACTGTGATCCTCCTTCACAATCCAGTACCGTGAACCTGCCAGTAGTGTCCGTCTTCATACCGCAGTTATCTAGAGCTATTAGCAATGTCCGTCTTCATACTGCAGTTATCTAGAGCTATTAGCAATGTCCGTCTTCATACTGCAGTTATCTAGAGCTATTAGCAATGTCCGTCTTCAAACTGCAGTTATCTAGAGCTATTAGCAATGTCCGTCTTCAAACTGCAGTTATCTAGAGCTATTAGCAATGTCCGTCTTCATACTGCAGTTATCAAGAGCTATTAACAATGTCCGTCTTCATACTGCAGTTATCTAGAGCTATTAGCAATGTCCGTCTTCATACTGCAGTTATCTAGAGCTATTAGCAATGTCCGTCTTCATACTGCAGTTATCAAGAGCTATTAACAATGTCCGTCTTCATACTGCAGTTATCTAGAGCTATTAACAATGTCCGTCTTCATACTGCAGTTATCTAGAGCTATTAGCAATGTCCGTCTTCATACTGCAGTTATCTAGAGCTATTAGCAATGTCCGTCTTCATACTGCAGTTATCTAGACCTTTTAGCAATGTCCATCCTCAGAGTCCAGGAGACTTGACCTGGTCACCTCAGATAGAGTTCACGTTGTAGAACTGACCATCAGATTCTGTGTCTTTATCGCCTGCCGTCCTGAGCAGTTCGGCCACCGTCAGGAATGGTTTAGGCCCCAGCGGATATGGCCAGAGCATGTTGACCAGGGAATTATAAGACCTCAACGAAAATAAAACGACAAAACAATATCATATTAACAAGGTCATTAGCTAATCGACTACCTGTAGACCTAGTCAGTTTGGACAAACGTGTGTTGTCACCGAGTCACAGCAGGTCTGAATTTTACTGTACACAGTGTTCGGTCACTAGGCCCCGATAGGTCTGACCTTTACTGTACACTGTGTCTAATCACTAGGCCCCAGTAGGTCTGAATTTTACTGTACACAGTGTTCGGTCGCTAGGCACCGATAGGTCTGAACTTTACTGTACACAGTGTCCAGCCACTTGGCCCCGATAGGTCTGACTTAAACTGTACACAGTGTCCAGTAACTAGGCCCCAGTAGGTCTGAACTTTACTGTACACAATGTCCAGTCACTCGGCCCCGATAGGTCTGACCTTTACTGTACACAATGTCCAGACACTAGGCACCGATAGGTCTGACCTTTACTGTACACAATGTCCAGTCACTCGGCCCCGATAGGTCTGACCTTTACTGTACACAGTGTCCAGTCACTAGGCCTCGGTAGGTCTGACCTTTACTGTACACAGTGTTCGGTCACTAAGCACCGATAGGTCTGAACTTTACTGTACACAGTGTCCAGTCACTAGGCCCCGGTAGGTCTGACCTTTACTGTACACAGTGTTCGGTCACTAGGCCCCGGTAGGTCTGACCTTTACTGTACACAGTGTCCAGTCACTAGGCCTCGGTAGGTCTGACCTTTACTGTACACAGTGTCCAGTCACTAGGCCGCGATAGGTCTGACCTTTACTGTACACAGTGTCCAGTCACTAGGCCCCGATATGTCTGACCTTTACATTACACAGTGTCCAGTCACTAGGCCCTAATATGTCTGACCTTTACTGTACACAGTGTTCATTTACTAGGCCCCAGTAGGACTGACCATTACCGTACACAGTGTCCAGTCACTAGGCCCCGATAGGTCTGACCTTTACTGTACACAGTGTCCAGTCACTAGGCCTCGGGAGGTCTGAACTTTACTGTATACAATGTCAAGTCACTAGGCCCCAGTAGGTCTGACCTTTACTGTACACAGTGTCCAGTCACTAGGCCTCGGTAGGTCTGAACTTTACTGTACACAGTGTCCAGTCGCTAGGCCCCAGTAGGTCTGACCTTTACTGTACACAGTGATCGGTCACTAGGCCCCAGTAGGTCTGACCTTTACTGTACACAGTGTCCAGTCACTAGGCCCCGATAGGTCTGACCTTTACTGTACACAGTGTCCAGTCACTAGGCCTCGGTAGGTCTGAACTTTACTGTATACAATGTCAAGTCACTAGGCCCCAGTAGGTCTGACCTTTACTGTACACAGTGTCCAGTCACTAGGCCTCGGTAGGTCTGAACTTTACTGTACACAGTGTCCAGTCGCTAGGCCCCAGTAGGTCTGACCTTTACTGTACACAGTGATCGGTCACTAGGCCCCAGTAGGTCTGACCTTTACTGTACACAGTGTCCAGTCACTAGGCCCCGATAGGTCTGACCTTTACTGTACACAGTGTCCAGTCACTAGGCCTCGGTAGGTCTGAACTTTACTGTATACAATGTCAAGTCACTAGGCCCCAGTAGGTCTGACCTTTACTGTACACAGTGTCCAGTCACTAGGCCTCGGTAGGTCTGAATATTACTGTACACAGTGTCCAGTCGCTAGGCCCCAGTAGGTCTGACCTTTACTGTACACAGTGTTCGGTCACTAGGCCCCAGTAGGTCTGACCTTTACTGTACACAGTGTCCAGTCACTAGGCCCCAGTAGGTCTGACCTTTACCGTACACAGTGTCCAGCCACTAGTCCCCAGTAGGTCTGACCTTTACTGTACACAGTGTTCGGTCACTAGGCCCCGGTAGGTCTGAACTTTATTGTACACAATGCACGGTCACTAGGCACCGATAGGTCTGAACTATACTGTACACAATGCACGGTCACTCAGCCCTGCTAGGAATAACGTTTTGCAGTTACAGACGATGGCGACACCTGGGGTTCCATCCATTTGCTTCAGGCCATGGCAGCAGACTAGATGCTTCCGTCTACCATCTGTACGAGAGAAGCAACAACTGTTCTCTTCTCACGCAAATACACAGGAAGTCTCATTGGCGCGCATGCTCCGCACGTGATGTCACGTGCAGGAAGTGAATAAGTACAAGCGTTCGCAACCATTACAGTTTTGAAAAGTTAAAAGATTCACTTAAAGATAATGAAAATTGTTAGCGAACAGCTTTAAATTCTAGGTGTTAATCTCCATTTACAACAGAAGTGATAGGGTAAATGCTGACTTGGTGTGTCTGCCTGACGCTGTGCAGTGTTAAAGGCGGGCAATTGTCGGGTATAAATGGC